CAGAAGCTGGAGAAGGAGAAGAGCGAGTTCAAGCTGGAGCTGGACGATGTCACCTCCAACATGGAGCAGATCATCAAGGCCAAGGTGGGCCCTCTTGGCCTTCCCTCCACCATCTCTGCTTTCTTCCTTGATGGTCTGTTTCTTCCTTGATGGTCTGTTTTCCCACTTCCCTTCCCCTCTTTCCTTCTATACCTTCCCCTTAACTTTCTCCTTTAATTGCATTCTGACACCCCTCTCAGTTCACCCTGCATCCACTGTATAACTACTTCCTCTTTCAGGCCAACCTAGAGAAAATGTGCAGGACCCTGGAAGACCAGATGAATGAGCACCGCAGCAAGGCTGAGGAGACCCAGCGTTCTGTCAATGACCTCACCAGCCAACGGGCCAAACTGCAAACCGAGAATGGTGAGCCTGGAGCTGGGCTCTGAGGACCCCATCCCAAGCTCCCCACCCTCTTGAGCAATCCTGGCCATGGGCGCACATACCCCTCACATTCACACACACAGCTCCCCAGAAAACAAGACCTGAGGGATCGGGAATGGCTGGGTGGTCAAGGGAGTGGCTGAACTTCAAGAGTTGAGCATGCCTTGGCGCATCCCCAGGTGAGCTGTCTCGGCAGCTGGATGAGAAGGAAGCACTGATTTCGCAGCTGACGCGAGGCAAGCTCACCTACACCCAGCAGCTGGAGGACCTCAAGAGGCAGCTGGAAGAGGAGGTTAAGGTGAGGCCTGGACCCAGACACATCCCTTGGCCTTGCATCTGCAGCACTTGCTCTCCCCAAATGGAGACTTGCTGTCTATCCATTATTCTCTGAGAATCGCAAGCAGGAATAGTAGCCCAAACCCTGCCACATACCTCTTAAGTCTGTTCCCCTCCAAGCCAAAGTCCTATGCTGCCTTCCCTGGGTGGGAGGCAGGGTAGGCCTGTGCAGGTGGCTAGAAAATAAACGAGGAGGCAGGTTATGACTCAACTAGGCACAGGATGGGATTCAGAGACTACAGAAAGGGGTCCAGGCAGAGATTAGCAGGGTGATCTGAATACTGGAGAAAGAAACTAAAATGGAGCTTATTCCTAGAACTTTGCTGAATCCATGAAATAAGGGAAAGAATATGAATTTTAGAAAACACCAGGGCTCAATCCTGACCTGCCTGTTCTAGTCTGGTGATCTTGGGAAGCAAACCTCCTGGCCTCGCTGAGCCCCCAGTGGCAGCGCTGACAATGCTGCTGCAGAGAGGAACACAGGGCAGCAGGCAGTGCTGCATCAGCCGTCACTGTCATTGTTGATCTACATCATCCCAGGCCCACTGGGGACATGGACATAGGTGGAGAGGTTGGGGTGAGGAGACTGACAAGGGTAGGAGCTGCTTTATGGGGAAAGCTGACCCACCTCCTGGTGGCTGCCCCTCTCCAGGCCAAGAACGCCCTGGCGCATGCGCTGCAGTCGGCACGGCATGACTGTGACCTGCTGCGGGAGCAGTATGAGGAGGAGACGGAGGCCAAGGCCGAGCTGCAGCGTGTGCTGTCCAAGGCCAACTCAGAGGTGGCCCAGTGGAGGACCAAGTATGAGACGGATGCCATCCAGCGCACCGAGGAGCTGGAGGAGGCCAAGTGAGTTCTGGGCAGACCCCTCTGGCCGAGGGTCCTCTGTGCACAGGACTCCTCAGTAGATCTCACACAGGGGATGCCCCAGCCCTACCTCCTGCTCCTCTCAGGAAAGCTTTTTGCTCGAATTATGTTTCTCATCCAAATATAAGACGAACAAAAGGTTTGTCTGAGGGCCGAGTACTCCCACTAGGGCAGGGTGCCAGGGCAATCGGGGTGGAGGATGGACTGCAGGAGCCCATGTCTCCTGAACATTGGAGCAGAGGCTGGCCTGGGGCAGGGGATACTGCATGGCCCTCCCAAGGGTCATGAGTCTTCGCACCCTGCCACCAAGATCCTCTGCCTGACCTAGGAGCCCTGCCTTAAGCTTCTCTGAATGCTTCTGAGTTTTCAAGTGTTGTCTTCCAGAAGGCTTATGTTGTTTCCTGTTGTCCAAATCCACACCTTCCATCCTCCCTGTCCTTTCCCACCCTCCCTCTGGCAGGAAGAAGCTGGCCCAGAGGCTCCAGGATGCTGAGGAGGCTGTGGAGGCCGTCAACGCCAAATGCTCATCCCTGGAGAAGACCAAGCACCGGCTACAGAACGAGATCGAGGACCTCATGGTGGACGTGGAGCGCTCCAACGCTGCAGCCGCAGCCCTGGACAAGAAGCAGAGGAACTTCGACAAGGTGCGCAGTGGGCCAGGATGACAGCCAGCGTGTGAGGCAGGGGCAGCAGGGGGACAGTGTCAGTGCAAGGCCAGAGCCGTCCTCCGGACAGCCAGGGGAGGAGGGCTGAGCCCAGGCGAGGGGCCTGGGAGGCCTGGGCAGCACAGTGAGCCGCGTCCCCTGCAGATCCTGGCTGAGTGGAAGCAGAAGTACGAGGAATCGCAGTCAGAGCTGGAGTCGTCCCAGAAGGAGGCACGCTCCCTGAGCACCGAGCTGTTCAAGCTCAAGAATGCATATGAGGAGTCGCTGGAGCACCTGGAGACCTTCAAGCGGGAGAACAAGAACCTGCAAGGTGAGCTGGCCCAGGGGCTCTGAGGGGCCACAAGGACTCCGAAAGGCCACAGGGGCTGTGTCCCTGTGGGAGGCTGCCCAGGAGCCCCAAGGCAGGCCAGAGCACAGGCTTGCCCTCTGCCCCTTTGGGCCATAGCAGTCCCCTGCTTAGTCACCATGTTCCCCACACAGAGGAGATCTCAGACCTGACTGAGCAGCTGGGCTCCAGTGGAAAGAGCATCCACGAGCTGGAGAAGATCCGCAAGCAGCTGGAGGCGGAGAAGCTGGAGCTGCAGTCGGCCCTGGAGGAGGCCGAGGTGCCTGTGCAGGGTGGTGGGGCAGGGCGGGAAAGACTGAGCTCCGGTCCCTATGATCATATCTCTCCCATCTACTTTGCTCACTGCCCCATACGTAGCACTTAAGACAGTGTCCAGCACATATCAGGCACTCAATAGATGCACTCAACAAATGAATGAATGCCCGATGGGTCACTTGACTCTTCACATCAACATTTCATCTATTTCATTTTAGACAAGCTCCTGAGCTCCCATTTCCACTTACCCCCCAGTCCACCTCTGCCTGCCTCTGTGTTTTTTACACTCTATGCCTGATTGCTTCTGTTTCCTTGGCAACACCTTTCTCTTCATTTCCTTCTTTGTTTTCAAGGCTGGCTCGCCTCTGTGAGGGGCTAAATCACCTTTTCTTAGGCTCGTTTTCATTTTTCTTGTACATTCTGTTTTTCTTCTATTTTCTGCTTCTCTGACTGAGCCACTTCAATTTTGTGTGTGGGTGGGTACTGGGGAGCAAACTGCATCCCCAGTCCCATTTTTATAATTTTTGAATTTTGAGACAGGATCTCCCTAAGTGGCCTAGGCACGACTTGAATTTGTGATCCTCCTGTTTCAGCCTCCCAAAGTGAGGGGATCATAGGCATGTGCTACAACACCCAGCCCCCTACACTCCTGAACTTTATCTGTTTCTGTGATTTGTGGACAGATCCCTGTCCTCCCCATCCTTGGTGCTAACTGCCCAACTCAGACCTGTTCCTTCACCTCCCTCCTAGGCCTCCCTGGAGCACGAGGAGGGCAAGATCCTCCGTGCCCAGCTGGAGTTCAACCAGATTAAGGCAGAGATCGAGCGGAAGCTCGCAGAGAAGGATGAGGAGATGGAGCAGGCCAAGCGCAACCACCTGCGGGTGGTGGACTCGCTGCAGACCTCGCTGGACGCAGAGACACGCAGCCGCAATGAGGCGCTGCGGGTGAAGAAGAAGATGGAGGGTGACCTCAATGAGATGGAGATCCAGCTCAGCCATGCCAACCGCTTGGCTGCGGAGGCCCAGAAGCAAGTCAAGAGCCTCCAAAGCTTGCTGAAGGTACATGGAGACTCCTGGAAGCAGGAGGTCACCTTGCTCAGAGAGGGGACTGGCTTTCATATCCTCTACACAGAGGACAGCTCAGACCTAACTGAGCAGCTGATCAGGTGGTAGTGTCCCCCGTCCTTGTATCATTGCAGTGACCTCTGATAGCCCCCTCCTATGTCACCACAATGGGCTTCCCATCCATATCCACTTCCACAAAACAGCCTTGTGAAGGCACTGTGGCCATCTGATGCCCATTCTCTCGATCCTCAGGACACCCAGATCCAGCTGGATGACGCAGTCCGGGCCAACGATGACCTGAAGGAGAACATTGCCATCGTGGAGCGGCGCAATAACTTGCTGCAGGCTGAGCTGGAGGAGCTGCGTGCCGTGGTGGAGCAGACAGAGAGGTCTCGGAAGCTGGCTGAGCAGGAACTGATCGAGACCAGCGAGCGGGTGCAGCTGCTGCACTCCCAGGTGGGCAGCACCCCTTGCACACTCTGGAGGGAGCTCAGGCTGGAAGAACTCGGTTGGTGAGGATGGAAGCCTCCTCAAGGGATACTCAGTGCCTTTCCTCTATGCCTGCGGTCTACCCCTAGAACACCAGCCTCATCAACCAGAAGAAGAAGATGGATGCAGACCTGTCCCAGCTCCAGACGGAAGTAGAGGAGGCGGTGCAGGAGTGCAGGAATGCTGAGGAGAAGGCCAAGAAGGCCATCACGGATGTGAGTGCCCCCCTAACCCACTGGCTCCAGGCAGCATCTCCTTGGACCAGCAATAAGGGTTCAAGGACTATGCAGACCATGTCTCACCTCTCTCCTATGCCCAGGCTGCCATGATGGCAGAGGAGCTGAAGAAGGAGCAGGACACGAGCGCCCACCTGGAGCGCATGAAGAAGAACATGGAGCAGACCATTAAGGACCTGCAGCACCGGCTGGACGAGGCCGAGCAGATCGCCCTCAAGGGCGGCAAGAAGCAGCTGCAGAAGCTGGAGGCCCGGGTGCGGGAGCTGGAGAACGAGCTGGAGGCTGAGCAGAAGCGCAACGCGGAGTCGGTCAAGGGCATGAGGAAGAGTGAGCGTCGCATCAAGGAGCTCACTTACCAGGTGCGGGTGGGGCTGCGGTTCTGGCCTTTGTATAGCGACCTGAGGCCACAGCGATGAGCATCCAAAAGAAATGAAGTGTTTGGTCTTAGCTCTTCTGGGGGAAGGGCTGGACTGTAGCTCATGTCTTCCCTGTTCCCCTTTGCCTGGCCAGCCCCACTGGGGTGTCCCCTGGCTCAGAGGTCAGTTCCCAGCCTCCTGGCCTATGTGCTCTACCTCAGCCTGCACCCTCAGCCTGTCCCCTGGGGATACACCCAGAGCTCCAGATTGGGCTCGCCCAGCATAGCTCCCTAGGAAGCACATGCGTGGCTCACCCAAGAAGACATCAAAGGAACACCAAAGCCATTCAGACAAATCTCAGCACTTCTCAGTTACCCAGGGCAGGGTGGACTCCAAATTTCTGTGGTATTTTCTAGAGTCAGACTCTCAATTAGGATTTGTTTCTATTCCAATCCAGGATGTCACTTCCCTCTAAGCACACTTTGTCCTTAGCCTAGATCAAGTCCATGTCATCTCCACTGTAGCCCAGGAAATTCCATCACACTCACAGGACCAAAGTACTCCTGGCACATGCTGGGCTCCAAAGCCGGGGAGTTTATCCTCCATGGGGACTCAGACCCTTAAGGGCCCGCTCCCTGGAAGGATACACAATTTTGTGCACAATTTCAGGAATCCCATCTGCTCTTTGAATTTTTTCCTGGTGCCTATCATTTAAAATATTCAGCTCTTTTAGGTAAGAAATTATAAGGCAAATTCAAGTGTGCAGTGAAGGTCAAAGAATAGAACTGCTTCAGATACTACTTTCAGTGCAAAGAAGACAAAAGCTGAGGCATGGGTGGCGTCCCCTATGCTGTGCCTTCTCATTCCTGCCCACGCCTGCCCCACAGACCGAAGAGGACAGGAAGAACCTGCTGCGGCTGCAGGACCTGGTGGACAAGCTGCAGCTGAAGGTCAAGGCCTACAAGCGCCAGGCTGAGGAGGCGGTGAGTGACCTTGCTGAGGTCAAAGCCTGTAGGAAGGACACAAGGGAGCCAGTGCCCCAGGCTGGGAGACTAAGGGCCTAGGCCCCTCTTACCTCATTCTCCCTCGGCCGCAGGAGGAGCAGGCCAACACCAACCTGTCCAAGTTCCGAAAGGTGCAGCACGAGCTGGATGAGGCGGAGGAGCGGGCAGACATTGCCGAGTCCCAAGTCAACAAGCTGCGGGCCAAAAGCCGTGACATTGGCACCAAGGTGGGTCCCTCCCCTGGACTTCAATAGTCTCCCCACACAGCCACACCTTCTCTCCTGGCTTCTGACAGAGCAACCTCACACCAGGGGCACTTCTTTTTGATAGATTCCTCCAGTGATTCAGTAAGCCCCAGAGGCCAAGGTAATTGAGTTCCCTGTGATTTTTTTTTTTTTTTTTTTGTCTTTTTGAGACAGGGTCTCATTGTGAAGTTCAGGCTGGCCTTAAGCTCATTTTGTAGCTCAGTCTGGTCTCGAGCCCACAACGATCCTCCTGCCTCAGCCTCCCAAGTACTGGGATTACAGGCATGCACCATCATGCCCAGCTGATTTCCCTGTGATTTTTAAGCTTCTTCCTGCCCCAACACTCAGTAACCCTGTGAACTCCAGCCCTAGGGTGGTCAGCAACCCTACAAGACCCCAATTTTTATATATATATATATATATATATATATATATATATATGTGTGTGTGTGTGTGTGTGTGTGTGTGTGTGTGTATATATATATATGTATATACATAGAAATTTTTTTTTTTTTTTTTTTTTGGTCTTTTTGAGACAGGGTCTCACTATGCAGTTCGGGCTGGCCTTGAACTGACTTTGTAGCCACAGCTGGCCTTGAACTCACAATGATCCTCCTACTTCAGCCTCCCAAGTGCTGGGATTACAGGCGTGCATCACCATGCCCAACTTGACCCCAATTTATATATACCCCATACTTTCCAGTATGCACACTGATCCCACCAAAGGACTTGTATCAGGCCATATATAAGGGCCTCCACCCACCCAGTGCCCTGGTCTCACCTTTATTTTCCTTACTCCATTCCTGTAACAGCTGCCTCTTCACAGCTAATTTGGACTTTGTTTCCTTTCAAAAGGGCTTGAATGAGGAGTAGCCTTGCCACACATTGATCTGCCCAGTCCTGAGGGTGCCAATGAAGCCCCTAGACCCGGTGCCTGCATAACAGCCCCTTGGGAGGAAGCAGAATAAAGCAATTTTCCTTGAAGCTGAGACCTGCCTCAATTCTTCACTGCCTATCGCCAATGGGGCCAGGGGCGGGGGTAGAGATGGGCCCTGGGAGCGGGGTGGTAAAGACTCCCAGGGAGGAGCAGCAGCTTCAAAGGCCAGGCTAAGAGGCCTCTCCCAGGAGCCCATGAGGCTCAGACCCCTCCTAGGAGCAGCCCTGGCCTGTGGACCCACCGCCACTCACTCTGGCCAAATGCAACAAAGAGGTGACACCTCTCTTCCCAGCCCTCTCCTAATCTGACACCCCCCGAGGACTGAAAAGGGGACTTACGGGAACCCCTAAATTCACTGAGAGCACCCTGAGCACCTAGAGTCCTGCACTGCAGCTCTGACAACACTGCCCCCCACTGGTGACACCTGGGGCTGGGGCCAGGGGAGGAGGTTTGGTGTATAAGGGCGGACCAGTGCCTTTGCACAGGTATGACCCGCTGGAGGCAAGGGACCCCTAGGTCCTCCACACACAAGTCTTAAGTAAACACGAGGATCACAGTTGTCGGCCACACACCCTTCCAGATGCAACGAGCCTCAGAGCCCCACCCCTCTCCCCACCCAGCCCAGAGGAAAGCACCCTTAGCCCACCATCCTTCCTTCCTTTTTCCTCTCCCCCAAGTGCCTGGGTGCAGGGTGCCCCGTTCATCTCTCATTTCCCCCACTGTAACTTGCATGCACCAGGCCTCTCTCCCCTGTCGTTGCTAGAAGATGGAGTTCTTTGGCCCATGTGCAGCAGGCAGTCTCAAGGGAGGCAGGCAGGGGAAGGACTTGGAGGGCAGAGTGTGGGCGAGACTCCACAGAGCAGGGGAGGGACAGGCTAGGAGGTGGAGGAAGGGCAAGTCCCCCTTCAACTAAGCCAGCCCAGCCCCTTTGAGGTTTCTGTCACAGCAGGGCTCCTTAGGGTGGGGCTGGAACTGTGGGCCTGGGAAGCAATGGGACTCCCAGCCCCCTGGGAATTTGGTGCAGACCAGGACTGACTCTCCCCTCAGCACCCCACCCCCGCCACACACAGCTCTCCTCCACAGCCCTTGCTGGGCTCTTAGCTCTGTGTGAAGCAGCCAGAACAAGGGCTCTATGCCAGGGAGGAGGTGAGGCTAGGGCTGAGAACAGCAGGTGAGGCAGCGCAAAGACAGGGAATACAGAAGCGGAAAGGAAAGGCGGTTGGGGGGGCAGATTGCAGTGGAGAGCGAGGGGGCGAACACAGCAACAATATGAGCAGAGGAAACACACACAGAAAGAGGTACTGGACATGAGGAGGCCTCAGAGAGAGCCCGGGCCCTCCCAACTTCCACCTCACACCCTGCCTCCTTCTCCCTCCCCAGGACCATTCCTCTGCCTAGGAACAAACTTGGAGAGCATTGAAGAGATCAGTAGAGAAGAGAGAGAACACACTGAGAGAGATGTGCAGAGAAGCCTAGGGTATCTCAGCAACCAGAGCCTGAGAAAGCAAGCTATAGTTGCCGTGGGGCCAGCAGGAGCTGGGTGCAGACAGCAAAGCTGAACCTCAGGGAAAGATGATGCTGATGGGGCTGGGGAGAGGAGGAAATGAGAGGGAGCCTTGGGCAGAGAGGCTCAAAGAGCTGAGGGGGCTGACACTGGGCAAAGGGAAGAACCTTGGGTCACCTTCAGATGCAAGAGTCAGGAAACCCAAGGAGCTGGGAGGCAGAGAGGTGGCTAAGGAACCCGGAGAAGAGGTGGTGGTAGTCGAGCTGAGCTGAGAGGTCCAAAATTCACTTTAAAGAAGGTAGAGCCTCATGTCAGGCCGCTCACTGGGCAGACGTGGGCTCAGGAGAATCAAAGGCCAGGTCTGACTGAGATAGGGAACCAGGCAGACGGGTAAGGAAGGTTAGACACGGGGACAGACAGACACTGGGAGCCAGGCAGAAAAGGGGCCACCTGCGCCAGCCTCCTATCCCCCTCACCTGTGGCCAGAGTCTCCATCTTGTGCCTGCACACTCCAGGACTCCAGCAGAATGAAGGGTGGGTTTGGGAGTCCGCTGAGGGAGGGTGGAGAAGAGTGTGTGAAAGCCGGGGAGGAGAGTGGGGCTAGAAAAGGAAGAGGAGGGCAAACCAGGCCAGACAGGGGGCAGAACCCAGATCCAAGTTAACCTCTTCCTTCTCCTTCCTCCCATAGGAGACAGGGGGTGCCTGCCCACCACTCACCCAGCAGCACCTATAGCAAGTTTGGCCCACTTGGTACACTGGGTTCCCTGAGGACAGAGCCTGGTTTTTGTCACCTGGACCTGACCCAGCCTGAACTGGTGTTCTCAACCCCTTATCGTGTCCCCAAGGCAATGGGAACCAGGCGTGACGCACTGGGTCATGGACTAACCCCCAGCTTGTGCACTGGGACCTTGAACGACCTATAGCTGGGGACGGGTGTCCTGCATTGCCCAGGGGTAGTGATCTGGCATATACAACTACAGGAGGTGAGGAGGTGCGGTTGGCTTGGGAGACTTTAGAGACACTGAATAGAGGGTATAGTTGTCTGGAGAGAGATATGTATTCTTGAGCTCCACATGGGGCGGTGAAGTGTTCTAGAGGTTGACGACCTCGCGGGGCAGCCACATCTTTAATGGACAGTGCCTTACCAAAAGGCTGACCCCTGTCTGTCCTACCCACCTCCACACCCCAGAGCTATATTGAGAGGTGACAGTAGATGGGGTGGGAGGGGGGCTGAGAGAGTGTTCCTGGGTGTGAGGGTGTACGGCAAAGCCAGATCAGGGGAGTCTGGCTTTGTTTCCTGAACACAATGTCCACTTAGTCACATCAGGCACGGCCTGCTGAAGACCCGACACTTGTGGCCTGCGAGGGAGCAGCACTGGAGGGTGGGGAGGGGTGGCTTGAGGGCCTGGGCATGTGAGGACACCATGAAGGGGCCCTGTGAGTTCAGCCCCTGGCACGGGCGCCAGGGTTCTACCTGGGGAGCACAGTCCTCAGAGCCCCACACCCCAGGAATGCAGAGCCTAGGGCCCAACTGGTGTAAATCCCCAGGCCTGCCCATGCCGCAGTCACCCTCAGCAGCACCTGCATCCTCTGGCAGCCCAGAGAGGCAGAAGAGAGCAGGCCCCCCACCCCGCCTCCCTCAGGCCCTGAGATTAACACCTCTCCACACCCATACCACATCCATACTACAAGAGGAGCGTGGCAGTGAGAGGGTAAAAAAACCTATGTGTGCCAATGGGGGTGTGCAAATGTGTGCATCAGTGTGAGTAAAAGCAAGTAAGAACATCAGCAAGCTTAAGTAAGTTGCATAAACAAAAATCTGCATGTGTGTGTGGCACACGCCTGGTAACCTAGGGTAGAGACCAGGCACAGGGCTTGTGCAGAGGACAGCACAGGAATTCTTTTCCTGACAAAGGGAAACTGAGTCATGGAGCTGAAGAGTGGATGCCCTCACTGGGCATCCTGGCTGCAGCCCCCAGGCCCCAGCACTGTGAGACTCCAGGTCTGCAGAGCACAGAGGCACAAGAACAGTCAATGTGGAAGGAGAGGGTAAGAACCAGGCAGGGGAGCCAGTGGTTGGGGGCCAGGTGACGAGGATTTGGCCTGCAGGAGAAGGTGACCCTCACCCAGTGTGCTCAACTCACCCTTCAGATTAAAAATAACTGAGGTAAGCGCCATGGCGGGGAGGGGGAGGGCATGCGAGAAAGCCCTGTCTTCCCTCTATCTGCCCATCGGACTTTGGAGGGGAGGAATGTGCCCAAGGACTAAAAAAAGGCCCTGCAGCCAGAGGGGCCAGGGCGACAGACCTTTCATGGACAAACCTGGGGGCTCTGGTGTCCTCCCGTCACCTCCAGAGCCAAGGGATCAGGGAGGAGGAGCCAGGAGGGGCCACACGCGGGAGGGAGGGTCCCACCGGAAGAACTCCAAATTTAGGCAGCAGGGTGGGGGAGTACGATATAAAGGAACTGGAGCTTGGAGGACAGGCGGAGATTCCTCCAGCCCAGGTAAGAGAGAGTTTGGGGTGGAGGCTCTGCAGCCAGTCCAGGCAGCCCTCACCCCGGGGGACCCTGCCTTCCCTGGGAGTGGGGTGCAGGTCAGTCAGAGGCTTCCAGAACTGCCGTCCTTCCCAGGAAGTTGCCTCTGGGAACACCAGATACTTTTCCTAGGACTCTCCCTTTCTCTGCCCCACCATTGTGCATCTCCTTGCCCACTTCTCCCTCCCTCCTTTGGAAGCCTGCTTCCCTTCATCTTGGTTTTTTTATCTTGCCTCTTGGTCTTTGTCGGTACTCACCCCAACCTGTTTCTCTGCCTGCCTTTCTCCCTTGTCCTTCCTTCTTAGCTGTGTGTTCTAATCTCCTGCCTCTCTCCCTGTGTCCACACCCTAGCCCAGCCGTCCCATTCTTACGAGCTCTGCATCTCTTTTCACGTGTGTGCAGCACTGGGGCGGAGCCCAGGGCCTTGTGCATGGTAGGCAAGGGCTCTTCCACTGAGCTACACCCTCCGCATCCTTCCTGCTCCTCCTTGTGCACCTGTGTCTCCCTCCCTGTGTCTATCTGTTCAGTGGAATCTGGCTGGCGGTGTCCAGCCTCTTCCTCCCAGCTGACCTGCTGCTTCTGTTGCTCTTTCTCTTGCTGTTCTTCCAGCCTGGCTGCATCTTCAGGGCACCTTGCTCTACCTGTGGTCCTGATTCTTCAGGATTCTCTGTGAAGAAATAACTAGGTGAGAGCCATCCCAGTGTTCTCTGCAGACCCCAGGACAAACCAGATTGCTGGACTGGGGGCCCCATCTCTCCTCCAGGAAGCTCGGCACTTTTCTTTGGCAAATTCCAGCCAATCCCACACAAACCCTCTGCTGAGTCCCTCCTAAAGAGACTCAGGGTAAGGGAAGCAGAAGTCAGGAGAGACAGTGGGTCGAGTTGGGGCCCTAATGGGATGGAGATAGGAGAGCGAGAAGACTTGGTGGGGCAAAGGGCAAGGCCACGTGTAGAAGTATGGCCTCACCTCAGAAGTAACGGCTCCCCACTGTCTTGCCTCAGAAGAGCCACACGA